ACGGGGAAGCTGACCAGGTGAGAGGCCACGGAAAACAGCAGCATTCACACCGACAGTGCCAGCAGGGTGAACCAAAGGCGCCTGAAGCACAGTCTTAAAGACGCAGCCGCAACCCGCGGAGCACAGGGGAGCGCCGCTCCTGAGGCCCTTCTCAGCTCTCCTCACTGAGCTGGAGGGGGCGGCGCTGAAGGCGGAGGCCCAGGCAGAACCCGCTTCCTTCTGGTCGTGTATATCAGGACGGGTCGTTACGGAAAGATTACTGAGAACAGAGGGCAACAGCACACACTCTGGCCCTGAGAGCTCAGCGGGGGCCCAGCCAGACTCTGTGATAACTTCTGAACGAAAATCTGTTGGGGTATTTCAGCTATGAAGTCACACTTCCTCAAGGTACGAGGCATCTCCATCTTTCAGCCGTGCTGGCTGGCGGTTTGGAACAAGGCCTCGTGCGCGGGAGTGCGCCTGCCTCAGGCAGGGCCCTGACTCTGGCCTTGGAGACGGGAACTGAGGGCCCCATTCTCTGCTGAGTGAACGGTGTGCTGCGTTTGGACAGCGAGAACATCAGTCTGGGGACGGGCTTGTTAGAATGGGGACACCCAGGAAACGTGACGCCGCCCCCATGGTGGTGTGTCCAGCCAGGGCTCGTCAGGCGAGCGGCACATGGGGAGCTTGGGGGAGCTGAAGGGACGCCACACCCCTAGCCGGATGGCTCTGGGGGCTCTGGCCTGAGACGCTGCATGGAGTGCAGGGGGAGGGGAGGCGCTGGGCCCTGACAGCTGTGGGTGGGTACCCCCAGGGCGGGATGTCTGTTGGCCTCAGCTGTAGAACCCCATTTCCTGTCCACCCTCTTCTTTTCTCTGCTTGGTCATGGCAACTAAGATGGCTCCTGCTGGGCCTGCCCGCAGTGCCCTGGTGATGCTTCTGGGCCACCCTCTCCCCGCTGCAGGCACCTGTACCATCACCTGCCCCTTCCCTGCAGGGATCAGTCACTGACAGAGAAGACCTGGAGTCGGGGGCCTTTGAGGCAAGCTGTCCTGAGACGCTGAAACTCAGAGGACACTGCTCAGCATTAAGCTTTGCAGGGATGGAAAGAAATGACACTGACCACTGCATCTCCCGACATCCTGGGAGGCTGGGTGGGGGCTGTGTGACAACCCTCGAACTGGGGTGTGGAGCAGCTGGGCTGATGGAGAAGCAGTGAGGATCGTCCAGGCTAGGCTGAGTGTGGGGGGAGCCCAGAGAACGAGGGGCCCCCGAGGGCTCGCCCAGTCGCAGGAGTTCAGACCATGAGACTCAGAGAGGGGTCGAGGGCGCAGGGGACCATGGGGCTGGCTGTCAGGGGACATTCTTCCATGAGCCCTGGGCGCCACCCTCCTCCACCGGGACTGCTGGAAGCCCTGCCGCCTCACCCGCCACGGCCAGCGGGTGCACGGTGACCGCTCAGCAGGCATCTCCAAACCTCCATGAAAGTTCCAGGTCTTCTCAAGATGCCCCGCTTCACTCCTCCCTCCTCCCTCCTTCCGCGGAGACTCCGAGGGGAACAAGGAGCAGCATGCGGGGCAGGGAACCTGCTGGCTCCGACTGACCGACTGACCGGCTCCTCCACACCCACAGGGACCACACTCAGCGTGAGCGGGCACTTGGCAGGGGGAGGGGGAGCCGAAACCAGGGCAGGGTGCGCCAGGCACGGAGTGCTGGCTCCTGCAGCGACAAGCAGGCTGCTCAGAAACGGCCGTGCCCCTCGGTCACTTTGCCGAAGGAAGGGGTGGGGGCAGCGTGAAGTGTGAGCACGATTATCGCCCGCGGAAAGCAAGGCGTCCCCCGACACTGACTTACCTATAAAATATATTATTTATCTGTTTTCTGATGTAAGCTCTTAAGCCTAAGAATTTCCCATAGATTCTGTGAAGGGTGGTTTTAAGAAAGTCTCTCTCTCTCGGGTCTTCACTGTCGAACAGTTCTAGAAGCTTCAAGAAGAAAAAGACACTCAGCGACTCGGTATTGTCCCTCTGCAGAACAGAGCTTTTGTGCTTTCAGCTACTTTGCCCTTACCTGCAACACAAACTTCTGATCAATATATTTCTTCGCTATATTAGGCTGGAAATCTGGAGACTCTAAAAATCTTAAGAAAAATTCATAAACAAGCTAGGAGGAAAAAAAAACCACAGTGAGTCAAATATCATGTTTATTAAATGGAGATTAAAAATATACCGTAAGTTGAATCTTTGTCTGCAAATATTAGCCTTAAAAAGTAAGAGCATGTATCTATAGAAATTATGCCAAATTACAAAGCTTTATTATAACTGATGACAGCAATTGTTTTATTTAGCTAAGAACCACAGACTATACCCTTAAATGGCATTTAAAAAATGACTTCCATGGCTGACGTCACCAGTGCTTGGAGGCCACAGTGCACAGCAGCCACCAGCCTGGCTGGGACCAAATTCCAGGTGGGTTTGCAGCCTGTCACCTCCCAGTGTCCTGGCAGAGAGCCAGGTAGCTAGGAAGGTGGGCCTGCCTGGTGGGCGGATCACAGACACAGTCACCGGGGCTGGGACGTCCCTCCCCCTTCACGAGTGGGCTGCAGGCTGCCATGGTCACACAGCGTCCCAGACGCCGTGGGAGGGCTGCTCTGCTGCTGAGGTGGCCCCTCCATCTGCTCCCTCTCCAGGTCCTCCCCAGGCTTCCCACCTCCCCGTCCCCCCTCCTTCAGCAGATCTGGACCGCCCGATCAAGCACATGGTCTCAGTGCCTCTTGGGCGTCCTGCCCAACCTCCCTTTCCCCTTACAAAGGCACCAGAAGAAGGCTTCAGTCAGCAGGTGAGCCCTGGGGCGCATAGTGGGCACCCAGTAAGTCTAAGCACTAAAACTGAGAATGTCTGCATGCGTCCCCTGACCTCAATTCAACGGTCGTTTCCACTGAAAACACAGAGACAATTCCATGTCTTTGTAGTTTGTGTCAAGTGTCCAAACAACCATCAAATGTTCTCTCTTCTGCTGGAACACTTTTCTCGTACGTACAGGTCTGCCAGGTCTATGACACCAGAGCTCAGAGGCCCTGTGCGACCAGCAGAGAGGCCCAGGCCCAGCGCACCTGCTCTGGGGAAGAGCCCCGCGCCCCCTCCCGCCCTCTGCCTCTGACCCACTCCCAGTCCAGTACCTGGAGGTGAGGCCAGGCTGCTTCTAACGTTGGCTCGTCTTCCTCTGGGTCAAATTCTGCTCCCGTTGGGTTGGAGGAAGGTGGCAACGTTCGAAACATGTTAACTGCAAACTGAAATCCACGTGTTCTATAATTACAACCGGGACGTCGCCGTGTTTACAGAGAACACTTAAAATTATCTTAATTGTAATGATAGCTGTTTCCAGTGCTCTGGCTGGTTCTTATTCTCAAAATTCAGACGAAAGGTGGGTCCCGAGAGCTTAGGTCAAAGCCGTGGCCAGACCCCCAGCTGTGGACAGGGGACATGGAGGCTCCTGCTGGGCTCTTCAGACAAACTAGGGCTGGCAGATGCCGGTGGGCAGGGAGGCCTCCCGAGGCCTTGCTGTGTGGTTAGTGCAGAGCAAGGAGAGAGGTCAAAGGGGAGACAGCAAGAACTGCAGGGTCACCGAGGAAACGGCAGAGGCCACACCGTGTCCTCTGCAGGGTCAGGGATGGGGACAGTGACGAGGATGGCCACAGCCAAGACACAGTGGCTTCTGAGTGGGCGGCGAGAGGGTCATTTCCAGAGAAAGAGTGCATGTTAGAGAGGAGAGGGGTCATCATGTTGCAGGACATCCCAGCCCCGTACACCCAGGGACTGGCCAAGACTTACAGAGAGGGGACGCATGGAGATGGCACTCCTCTGGGGTCTGGACAATTCCCCGCAGGGCTCAAGACCTCGTCTCTACTCCCCCTACTACCAGCCCTACCCCAGGCTCCGGTAATTTTGACTTCATAAAAATCAGTGTGTTCTAACAGATGTTTTCTGTATAAAATCTGTAATTCTTTGGAACACAGGCACATTTTATTGCCTGTGTGGTTCATATTGATAAAGCACAACGTATGTGGGCAGGTTCCTGATAAAACGCAGCAGTTTCGTCTTCCTGTTTCATCAATTTACAGCCACCTATCTCCTTCCCAGTCAGTTTATGAGCAGTTGTATCACTGAATCTCTGAACCTGCCATATGCGGTTACAGGACTAGTGATCAAAAAAGAAAGAGATCATGCCATTTGCAGCAACATGGATGCGCCCAGAGATTATCAAACTAAGCAAAATGAGCCAGAGAAAGAAAGACAAATTCACGTGACATCACTTGCATGTGGAATCTTAAAAAATGGCACAAATGAACTGATTTACAAAACAGAAATAGACTCACAGACATAGAAGACAAACTTATGGTTACCAAAGGGGAAGGGGGTCAGGGATAAATTAGGGGTTTGGGATTAGCAGGTACAAACTACTGTATACAAAACAGATAAGGATTAAGGTCCTACCATATAGCACAGGGAACTATATTCAATATCTTGTAATAACTTACAATGAGAAAGGATACACATACGTATAACTGAGTCACTATGCTGTACACCAGAAACCAGCACAACACTGTGAATCAAACACACATCAATTAAAAAAAAAGCCCTCTGCCCCGCCAGCCCAGAAGCAGAGAACCAAAATGTGCGACACACCAGACAGAATCTTTGACCACGATGACAGGGAGGGTCTGCAGAGAGCCCGGGCAGACCCGGCTGCTCAGTGTGTCTTGTAAAGACCAAACTGAGACTCCGCGTCACCTGTTTTGCCTCCTTTTGTCCATGATTAATACTGAACCACTATTTTCCGTGAAGAAAAACACCCCCTCCCCAAGCCCTGGGCCCTAGAAGCCCCGGGCACCAAATATTTGCTCCCTGCCTCGTGTGAGAGCGCCGGACACGGACAGTCCAGGAATGGGAGGGACCAGAATGGCTGGAACAAGTAGCTGAAAAAAATCTTCCAGTAAAAATACAAGAAATGGTCCTAAGATGAAAGTAGAAAGAAGCAGAGGTCCAGGACCTGTGAACGCGGTGTGTGCTCAGGGCCCGCGAAGAGGCCTCCCAGATCACAGGTAACTGGACAGGAGAGGCTGGGATGGGTGTTGCCAGGCAGAAGGGGCACGTCCTCTGCTGCTGCCCCCAGGCCCCTGACCCCAAAGCCCACAGAACAGAGCAAGGGGATACTAGGAGCCCACCCACTCAGGAAAGGCCACACCCAGGTGGGCACTGTCTCCTCCTGGCTTGCGGGGGCAGATGGGGGAGAGCAGCAGAACCAGCCCAGCTACCACCGGCCACCCCCTCCTCCCTGGGCTGTGCAGTGGGGAGGAGAGGGTCAGAAAGGAGCCTGGAACCTTTGTCGAGGTGTGGCATCCCTGAGCTGGGCTGTCCTATCAAAGTCAAGTATTCAAGGGGCACCAAAAGAATCACCCAGAGATAGGGGGCCACTTAAAGAGAGGGAGGGGTACATGCTGTCCTTGGGGATCAGGACTGCAGGGGCACAGGCACAGGTCCCTGAAGGCGAAGGCATTGAGCACTGGCTGTGCTGCTGCCCTGGGGGACCTGCTGGAGCGCCCATGATGGCGGGTTGCAGTGTACCTGGAGGGGAGCACACAGGCCGCCTCCTGTGAGGTTCCCGTGGCTGTAGGCGAGGGACACAGAGGCCAGAGCAGGGAGCAGGAGCAGTGGGCGCCCAGGAACAGCCAAGGAGCAGTCAGCGCCCCTCCAGGAGAGGAACTGGAGGCTGGGATGTATGGGGACATAGCTGCCCCTCAGGGAGGGTCTTCTGTGAAGCTGAGCACAGATGCCCCCCAGGAGGGACTGCCACGGGGCAGAGGCCAGGCAGCAGGGCAGAGGCACAGGGGCCCCGCCAACCCTTGGCCCCTCTTTGCCCCCGTCAGGTCCCCCACTGGCCACACTGCCCTTGGGGACAAGGGGACAGATGAGGTTCTGAGTCTGGGACTGAAGCGTTAAATCAAGTGACCAGTTGTAATGAGAGGGGCACGAAAGGGAGATAATGGTTAAAGGTGATGGTTGAAAAGACCCGTGTGACAGCTTAGTCTTAGAGCACCCACGATTCAACCCAGTCATCTGAGCATCACCATGAAGGCATTTAGTAATTATGGTCACATCTATGATCAGCTGACTTTAGGTAAAGGCGATGGCCCTCCAGAATGTGGGTGGGCCTCATCCAATCAGTTGAAAAGTCTTCTAAGAGCAAAATTGCTTTACCGGAGGATGAAGCAATTCCACTGTGGACAGCAGTGTCAGCACCTGCTCCATGGAGTTTGGATTTGCCCCGTCTGACTTTGCAAGGCATGAGACCGTTCCTCAAAAATCCATCGATTGATCGATCGATCGATCGATCCATCCATCCATCCCCTTGTCTGTTTCTGTCTCTATCCTACTGGCTCTGTTTCTCTGGAAGATTCTGATCTACCTGGTCAGCTAAGATTCCTCAAGGATCTGTTGTAGTGAAGCTACTGATTCCAGTCTTGAGTTGAAGCCCCACTGCCCAGAGCTCCGTCAGACACAGCCCGTCCCCAGTGCGGCACAGTCACCGAATCCCTGGTGCTGCAACGGGACACAGATGAACTTGCTTTCAATGCTAAGGTCCCCCTGTTAGTGTTCCGCAAGAGTGACCACCCTAGATCCAGGGAATTTTACTACTGGCCAACTCTAACTGATAAACTGATAAAAAGTTATTTCTTTCATGCAACAACAAAAATCTCACACCATAATTTCTACCCTCCTTTCCAACTACATCACATCACATTAACTTGATGCTTATCTCCAGAAAAGGCCAAGACACTAAAACTAATAAGGACATGAAAGCACGTAAGGCGAAGCGCAGGTCGCCTCACACTGCTCCTGGCTTCCCACCCACCACCGCTTGTAAGCACAAGAGCTTCGGGGGGCAAATGAGCGGCGCACGTGGTGCTGACGTCAGTGTCCTTGACAGCGGGGTTCAGTCTGAGGACCACGGAAGGCGGTGGTCATCACCACCATGCCACGGAAACCAAAGGGACTGTGTGTGGACTGTAGGTCCAGGCAGCCTCAGGTCTGGTGAGGGTCACCCAGATCCACTACAACATTTACGTTTCAGCTGAGACACTGGTTCAGAGTCCCCCCAGTCCGTGGACACAGAGCTAGAATCAGGTCTCCCACAGAGGGAGGCAGGGTGGCCTCGTGGGGACAGCCTTCTTGGCCCTCTTCTTACCCAGAGCAGGACCCGAGACCGAAAAACTGCTCAAGCCTCGCCCTTCTCCCCGGCTGAAGGAGGGTAAGTCTGTCCTCCGCACTGGGCCCGTGGGAAGCGGAGACGTCACCGCGGATGCAGGCCCGCACGTGTGTGGCCACGCGCCTGAGTGTGGCGTGGACTGACTGCGCCATTAGGAAGCACCTGCTTTTACAGCTTTCTTGACATTCCTACTCTCAGTATGCAAATCACCCCGTACATGTTCTCCCAATTGCTAAATTTATTGAACAAATGCAAACTGAAATGGCTCGAGAAACAACTGCGAAAAACTCTCACAATTCAGCAATAACATACTGTCTTTCTATACCTGTACCAGGGGGTGAAGTAATAAAATATTCATGCAGTACTGGAGAGCACATGCAGGCTTAAGACAGGAAGGGATACACACCAGAGGAAAGCACTGATAATCCAATTTCAGAGACAAGGAAAGAAAGGTTGATTATTCACCTCTCTGTTTAAAACCACAAGGGTTATTCTGCTATGTGATGGTTCTGCTTTACTCACGTGAGTAGGATTTACAAAGGCGAGCCCACCAAAGGCCAAATCACAGCTCCTCCTCCTGCAAGAGGAGCGCTGGCTTCTGAGGGTCACCCTCTTCCTGTAAGAGGAGTGCCGGCTTCTGAGGGTCATATCGCTAAGAGACACATTTCAGGGGGAGGCAGGGAGGGGTCTATCCACACTGTATTTTAAATAGAGAGCTGTTTTTTGGTTCCAAATGGTATAATGTATCTGGGAAAACCAAGAGACAACAGTCAGACCATCAGAGCTGGGCCACCGATACAAAAACCAAAAATACCAACCCCACAGCAACCCCCTCTCCACCAGCGACAGGCGACCAGGAAGCAGCACTGGCAGGAGGACCCCAGGCACGCGGCCACAAAATGACAACGGGCCTAGAGACTCACGGCCCAGTCACAAGGCCTCAGTGAGCACATGGAAGCCTCAAGAAAGGCACTGATGATGACCTGAGCAAGGAGGAACCTTCCCTGCTCCAGTGAGGTACGT